TTCCCTTTTCTTGAGCCATCTGGGAACACAGGACCCAAGCAGAGGAGACACTGAGTTTGGGGTCTGCTGCAGGGCCCCTGCCTGGAAGGGACGCACTGCTTTCAGGTCCTAGTTGACTCGAGTTCCTTGTGGCCACTGAAATAGCCTTTTAACTTTCCCCATGTTTGGGGGAGTAGTGCTGGCCCGCTGGCCTCTTTCCTGCGAAGCCAAATACGATTTTCTGTTTTTTCCTTTGTTCTTTTTTGCAGCATCGTCTCCCAGCTGTTGTGGGGACCGATTCGGTGTGTCTGGTCTCAGGGCCCCTTGACAAGCTGAGACTCACTGCAGCTCACGTGGTGCCATCCATTCATGTTGGCCACCTTAGAAATCAACATAAGACATTAAGACTATGCAGTAGTCCACACAAATATAATAACCCAGTGCTCGTCAGCATCTGTGGTGAAAGGAGCTGTTTGTGTTTCAACAAAAACAACACGAGTGAGAACTACGGCTGGATTCACAAACCCAAGCCGGGCCCCCAGGGGCCGCTGCCTGCAGCCCGTCCTGGTGGCATGTCCGTGGCCTCTGGAAGAGACCGGCTTGGGGCGGGGGGACGGACGGGGGACGGGGATAGCAGACCACCTCTCGGGCTGATCTGGGAAAGGGGGCCCGGGCTCACACCCTCAGAACCTGCTCCAGGCAGCCTGAGCAGGTCCCAGCGACCCATCAGCCTGCTTATCACCTTGGCTTCTGTGTCACACTCAGAGGGACGTGGAGCTGGTGTCTCCCTGGCTCCATCTCCTAAGACAGTGACTCTCAGAAACGTAGGACTTGGCAGGGCTGGGAAGTCGTCACTCGGGCTGGGCAGCCTCCAGGTGTCCACAGGGGCAGCCAAGGTGGCCTTGATGGTCACTGGGTCCCACTGGCCCGTGCTCCAACGACCTGCGGGCCAGGGCCCTGCCCTCCCAGCACCGGCTGCCTTGGGGCCCTCCGGAGGCCCCTGCATCGTGGTACGATGGTAGGAAGCCTGGCATTTATGAGCCCGGCCGTGTCTGGGGCCCTGGTCGCGCCCTCGCGCAGACCCGTGTTATTCAAGTCCCACCCTGCCCCGCGGGCCAGTGACACACACGGGTCGTGGGCTCTGAACCTTGGCCCATTGCAGAGGGGAGACGCTATTGGCCGAGACGCGGGCCCCAGCCGTCTGGCCTGCGATTCCCGGCGCTGCCAGTAGGGGCCGCCCCCGCCCCCTATGACACAGCAACAATAGCGGCCACTCTGGCCCGCGCCGCCGGCTTACGCTCCGCGGCGGGACGGCGTGGGCGGGGCCGGACGATAGGCGGCTGCCTATGCCAATCGCTCGAGGC